CCCAGCCTGCGTAGAACGCTACTGCACAAAACGGCCGTGAGGTTTAGGTCTCTGTAATCATCCTACTGTGTGCTTGCTATGTGAGTAATGGAGTAAAAAGGAAAAAGATAACCTCTTTCTGATAATTACTACTTGTTCCCCCACCCCCTATCTGTATCTACACTTATTTTCCATTACAAGAGTTGGAGAGAAGGAAGATTTCCATCTCTATCATTTCTGAGCAGGGCCCGGGAAAGTCCCAATTTCATCTTCCAGCAGTCTTATCATGTCGACCTTGAAGAATAAACTTCACCGCCCCCCCCACCCCCAGCCATAGACACCTTTAACTCTGCATAACCTCAGAGTCTGTAGAAAACAGAAGAACCTCTAAATGGTATTTTTCAACATGGACAGAGATTCTCCTGGGTCCCAGGCAGTGTAACAGTTACTGCCTCTGGTCCTAACTGCCTCACGGTGAGCACATTAGCACGTGGACATGAATGTAAGGACAGGGAGACCCCAAGGCCAGCGGTGCCCCTCATCTGGCCACAGTATCCTGGGCGGCCCACAGGGCTCTGGGTGAGTGCAGAGCACGGTACTTACTGGGGAAGGAGGACATCTCTAATGAGAGCCAGAAGGTTGCTGTCGGAGTCGATGGGTGCAGCCTCCTTGCCATCCCCGCCCTCCTGGTTCACCAGCAGAGATGTGGTTTCTGAGAGCAACCGCAAGCTGAAGAGCCTCCACTCCACTTGAAAAGAAAGAATGCCAAGAGCATGACTCCATGGAGATGGAATGGAAACAAATGTGTAACCGATGGAATTCTGGGAGATGTGGTCACTTACCATTTTGGCTTTGAACCAAGGAGACCAAGGGTGGCAGGATATAATCAACAACCTACAAGAAAAGGTATTAAAGACTCGGTTCAGATCTCCATAAACACGGACTTGATAACAACCACTATCTATGTTTTTTTGTCCACTGACAGAATCACTAATCAAAGGTGTGGAAAAAAGGCAACAGCTAAATTTATCCTGGATCTAAAGTCTGCATGACATTTAATAAACCACCAAGCTCATGTAACTGAAAAAGTCCTCAGGTCAAAATGACATTACGATCATCAAAACCTTCAGGGCTCATGAAAAGAACTAGTATTTAATGCAAAATCTGATTGGCATGGGTTGACATTAAACCATCAAATTAACAAATTAACATATAAGCTGGTGATCATTTCTCAAGTTGAAGATAAACAACAATCAAAATGTTGGAGGGGGGAAAGAGATGTATAATCCTCATGTTTTGTCAAATACATCAAAGAGCTATGACAAGTTAATCCTGGTTATTTTTATAAATAGATACAGAAGATGTATATCCACTATACAAAACAACTCTATGATTTCCTAGTAATATCAGACAGAGCACAATCAAATATGGTTTGAAATCTCCAAAATAAGCTTTCTCCTTCCTCCCCGCCTCCCCCGCAAATAAAAATGGACAATGAAGAAAGGACAAATCACTCCCATGGTCTAATTTTGAAACCTACTATCTCATTTGATGAGCTGTTTTGGCAACAATACACAAAATTCCTGCCTACGCTGATAAAAAGGCAGGAGAAACAATTCACAGCCCAACACCACCACCTGGCTGCCCAAACCAATGGAATGATGCCCCGCACAAGCAAAGCCCACCACACCTTGCCAACCAGAGCACGACCCCTCCTGTACAATAACGCAGGATGGTCACTGACAGAGCTCAGGCACCAGCTTTATTTAAGAAGGAATTCTTACAGAGACCCAAAGCCAGGAGCAGAGACAAGAACAAGGACCTTAGAGGGGATATTAGCCTCTGAAACTAACAGCTGCAGCAAACAGTAAACACAGCCTGGCTGAGGAGAGCCAGCCAGATACACATAAAATCTCACACTAAAGGCTCATTTATCTCAGTTCATTCCGTCAGGTTTGTTTCTGTACTGGTTCAGGTGAGGCAATCCTAGTATGTAAAAACCCTGCGTCCGTCACATCCACAACGACCGACCGGAGGCTCGAGCTAATGCCCAGGCTGCGTGCGCAACAGGGATGCTGACATCTTGATTTCACCCCCAAAGACTTAAAAATTTACAAAATGGCAGGTTCTTTGTTAAAAAAAGGATATTATGGTTTAGTTTATTGTTTTAAGTTAAATGAATTGAAATATATTATATATTTTAGGCCACTTATGTATATTACTACCAGAATTTTCTAATAAAGAATCACCTTTATTTTTCCCATTGCTATCATAACATATTTTGGAAACCCTATGAATGGAACAAATTCTCTGTACAAATCAAATCGTTCTGGTATTTCTAACTGCTCTGTAGGCCACACTGGTGATTTCCAACTCTGAGGCACTAAGTAGTGTAAACTCTGGGAAAATCTGAGTTAAGCACTTGTGCTCGGCGAGAATTAAATGCCTGCATCCACTTCCATATAATAAGTATTGATCAGCGGCCTTGAACATAGTTTGTGTAACATTTCAAACAATGTTATGCTCCTTGGGAAGCTGAATCGTCAATTTCATGTATCCCAGTCATGCTCCTGAAGTGGTAGAGGATTTCCCATGAGTTACAGCATTAAAGATTCTTTTATGAAGCCCATGAGTTGCAATGACACCATTCCTATCATAATACACGCTGTAGTTTCAAGGATTATTATGATAGCCTCTCATGATTAGAAAATAAATTACTGAATGTCTATTTAAATGTAAGTACAGGTATTTGGAACTACTAGATCACAAAAATTCTCCATTGGGTTATTGCTCATTAAAGAAAACAATCAATAAGAAACACTTAAGCCAACACTATCTCAATGGAAGACCGAGAAATCATTACTCAGAAAGTGATCGTAACAAACAGGGTTTCTGCTAATAGTGGGTATTATTTGGATTAACTTTCTCACTGAACACAATTTAAAAATGCCAGATAAAATATAAAAGAACAAAACCTTAAAAATACGGAAGATCTGAAAAGACAATGGGGGAACTTTCAGACCAGGTTCTGAATGAAACCTTTACCCAGAGAGCTCAGCTGAACTCAACTCTCAGTATGAGCATTTGTATCCAACTATCTTAGCACCAGGTATCGCCCGCCCTGGAGGCACTTCCCAGTAGTGCAAACACAGGGCTCCAGGAGGGCCCGCTGGGGCAAGAGGGAGGGCTGAGTCCAGGTCTTCCCACATGCGGAGTTCTGTGAGTTCCTACCCTGGGCCGGGCACTGAGGAGTGGAGATTACGTTCAGATAAGGCAGTGGTTGGCAAACTGCGGCTCTCGGGCCACATGCAGCTCTTTGGCCCCTTGAGTGTGGCTCTTCCACAAAATACCACGTGTGGGAGCGTATGTACAGTGCGATTGAAATTTCGTGGCCCGTGCGCAGAAGTCGGTATTTTGTGGAAGAGCCACACTCAAGGGGCCAAAGAGCCGCATGTGCTCACAGAGAGCCGCAGTTTGCTGACCACTGATAAGGAAAACCAGGCTGAGAAGGCTGCCCTAGGAAGTTAGGATCTCAGACTATAGTCTCAGGGATTTGCAAAAGGGGTGCAAAGGACCTGCGTCTAAGGAGCCCTGACTGACAGAGCCCGGGACAAGCCTGAAGCCTCTTGGAGGAGGGAACACCCACCCACGGCTTCAGGGAGGCCATGGCCTCCAAGAACACAAGGTGATGTGGACACAAACAAGATCTGACAGACACCACAGCGCACCGCAGTCTTCTGATATTGGAATCATCACAAATAGTGTAAAACAACTTCATCCAACAAATGTGAATAAATCAATCACAGACTAGGAAATATGTAGAGGGAAAAAATTATAAAAAAATATAGTAGATTGAAAAAAAACAGATAAGCAGAATTTCTAATGATAACAAAACTTCTACACATGAAAAATAACCAAAATTAAAAACTCAATGGCTATATTTAGTACCACACTGGACATGGAAGACAGAAATAGAATTAGCCAAAATATAAACAAAATTATCCAGAATATAACCCTAAAAGAGAAAAATGATGGAATATATCAAAAATATAGTGAGAAAGTTTAATGTACACGTGATCTGAGTAGCTGAAGCAGAGCAAAGAAAAGAGAGAATAAGCAGAGATGATAAGAGAGAATTTCCCAGAAATTATGAAAAAGGACAATCCAGATCTAAGAGGCACAGAGAATCCTAAGCAGAATAAATAAAAGCAGGTTCACATTTAGCTAAATCATAGTGCATCTACAGAAAACCAAAGGCCTTCCCCTCCAAAAAAGTCTTAAAAGGGGACAAGGATCAATGGGGGCAAAAAGGGACATTTGTAATACTTTCAACAATAAAGATTTTAAAAAGCCAGGCCAGCATGCTCAGTGGTTGAGCGTTGATCAATGAACCTGGAGGCCATGGTTTGATTCCTGGTCAGGGCACATGCCTGGGTTGTGGGCTCAATCCCCAGTAGGGAGCATGCAGGAGGTGGCCGATCAATGATTCTCATTCATGTTTCTCTCTCTCTCTCTGCCTCTCCCTTCCACTCTCTGAAATTAAAATAAAAGACTTGAACAAGCACTTCATAAAAGAGTACTCCCAAATGGCCAAGAAACATTTGAAAAACTATGCAGCCTCATTAGCAGTCTTGATCATACAAACATTTAAAACTATGGCGAAATACTGCTAGATACCCACCCATTTCAAGGTGTGAAGTAACAAGAGTTGGGGAGGATGAGGAGGAGGTCAGGTACCGCACTGCCGGGTCAATGTAAGCTGGCCCCACCTCTTTGGAGAACACTTCAGTATTTTGTTCACCAGCTGAGTTTATGTATATCCCAAACCCACTGATCCCATTCCTAAGTATATGCCCTAAAAGTAGTGCCTTCTTATGCAAAGCAAAACACATGAACAAGAATATCCATCGATATTTGTAAATGCCAAAAACTAGATATAACTTAATGTCTATCAAAAGTAAATAAATTATGATATATGCACATACTCAGATTTCTACAATATGCAGAATTCCCAAGTAAATGAAAAAGCCTATTTTTTAAAAGCTGCCAGGACTGACCGTAGAGCAATAGTCCTTCAGTAAAACAGGATACTGTATTATTGCTTCAAAAGCCGACAACGTGATCTTGATAAATTCTTCCGATGCCATCAGTCCTAGAAAGACAGGGGATTATTACAGGTGTCTGTTTACATGTTCACAATCACAATATCAAAGTACCTCAGTCAAGGATGTAAAATGTCCCTATGGTGTCTACTCACCTATGGCTCCTTCTATGTTAGTTTCTCCTGAGTCTATAGACTTAATATGACTCTGAAAAATAAAAATCCTAGTAAGTGGGGGTTTCAAAATAACTCTGAAATAAAACATAGATAACAATTGGCCCCCACACCACCTACCATTCTTAATGAAACAACTCATGGAAGGCATTCAACACTATACACAAATTATGAACACCATAATCTTCGTTTTAAAATATGATCATCTGAAACTGTATATATACATTATTAACTATGATCATTTTTAAACATCCCAATCACTATCGATGAGACTTAATGTTGGAATAAATTCAATAGCAAGGTAAGTCCAGAAAGGACAACCTGCAAGAGTGAAGGTAATACAACTGACACATAACCATTCCCAGTAACAGCCACACTCACTCACCAGGAGAGACAAGTCTTTTGACTTAAATCTACCCAAATGTCTCTGGGTTACTAAGAAAGATAAGACTGAACTGTGTTTATACCGTGATCTTTCTGGTACAATTTTAAAAAGAATCCAGAGACAAAGCACAAACATAGATGTGAACATAAAGGAAACCACTGGAGAGGTTCCCTTTGGGGAAGGGAAATGCTGACAGCGGGTGGCGTGTTTTCACTTTCTGCCTGTCTGCACTGCTGGAATTTTCTAACCATGCATGTGTATTCATTTTTTTCTTTCTAAATGTCAATCAGAGTACTATGACTTCTTTTAACTTCTTTTCTTCCTTATACCTCCCCTGTTTGATTTAAGTCCCTACTTAATGTCTCATTGATTTATCAATTTTAATGTCTTGATATGTTTCTTCTTCCTTCTTAGTGTGATGGGAATGACTCAGGTGAGAGTGAGGACAGAGTAGGAGGCACTGGAGATTCAAGAGGAGAAGAGAACTTATAAAGGGTCATGTAGGTGAGCGTGCAGGTACATAAAAACAGGAAAGTGAGCTAGATGCACCCCCCAGTCTGCAGAGGGTGTACCTGAGACGAGCAGTCATGAGTTTAAAGTGAGACCCGCTACTCACATGGTGTTCTTCTCTAGCTATATTTAGCCCCTCAAAGCAGGGGTGGATAGAGAACTGAATCGAACCAGGATTAGGCTCTGCCAGAGGAGGGCAATGGAGAAAACGGAGGGAAGGGAGGTACAAGTGAATCCAGGGCAGGGAAGGGGGCTGGAACTCTAGGGAACCCTAAGTTGAGTAAAGACCAGAGGCAGCTGTTGGGCCATGAGAGGGCAGGATGAAGAGTGGAAAGACCAACTGAAGTCGCAGAGGAATGAAAGGGTTGTTGGAGATGGGGAGCAGAGGCACTGAAAATTAGGAGCGATGGCCAGTGTGATGCTGCAAATAAGTTCATGGGTGTAGGCAGCTGTAGAGGGAAAGACAAGAAGGTGGCGGAGGAGCGCAGAGGCTGTGTTGGAAGGGCCCTCCGTAGGGATATCCAATTCTCCAAGAATGGTACTAGGAGCAGCATGGAGAGACTGACAGTGGCCCAATGAAGAAAGATTCGGAGGAATGAGGGGCAATGACCAAGAAACCTGTACATGATGTCTGTGTCACAGCACAGGGGTAACGCAGGCTACCTTCTGATGGTGCAAGTTTCAAAGCTGGGAGTTTTAGCAGAGGAGCTAAAAGGATGAACGCCTCCCCACAGATAGGCTCAGTGGGTGAAGGAGTGCAGGGCAGAACATGGCCCCATCTAAAGGGAAAAATGGAAAGCTATGGCTCCAGGGCAGGCGGTGCTATTCAATATCATTTAGTACTACACTTCGAAGAAGCTGAAAATAAGTTCCTGTAGCAAATTGAGAATATGAATTCAAGGTTTGTAGAAAAAGGAGAAAAAACTCATAACAAGACCATTTGCTTGGCAATGAATAATTATATATTTTTTTCAAATATAAGATTGCACTCTCTCTGCTTTATTTACTGCAAGTGAAGTAAAAAAAAAAATCAATCAACAAAGCAACATTCGCTTAAAATAAGAATCTGCAGAAGGCAGGAAGTATGTCTTTTCTTAGAATAACTATCTCAGTGCCAGGGTACGTAAAGATTCATGAATGATGGAGTTCATAATTATATTCTTGCATGAAAATCTATCAAAATAATGTTATCATTTCTTTCTCCTCTTTTATTTGAAAATTTGAATTGTGATGCCCTTTTGTAGAAAACTATAACCACCACACAACCATGACGCTTTTATCAACTAGTGAGGCCAGAACTTAAGAACAACACAACAAAGTTCTCTTCCTCAGCTCATTAATCAAGAGCATCTTCAAAAGGCAAGAGAAGCACAGTGAACATTAGGTTAGTACACACCATGAGCTCCCGAACATATTTCCTCAATGTCATCACTTCCTGTTTCCCAGCCCAACTCAATGGAGGCCCAAAAAAACGACAGTATTCACCATGGAATTTCCCCATCACACCCGCCAGATACTTTACTGCTAACAGTGTCCTTAGGTACTTTGTTTTACTGAAGAGGAAAACAAGTATGATGACAAACTGCTTCTGTCAATAAGAAGTGAAAAGAACAATTAGCAGCTGTATAGCCCTCTTGTGCCTGGAGCCTTTGAAAACTTAATAATGGTTTACAAGTATCCTGCCGATTTTTCCCCCAAATACTAGCCTCTTTTAAATATAAGAAGACCAAAACTTTGTTTTACTTGGGGGCAGGGGGAGGTTAATTCCAATACTCATGCCTCCATATATAAGAAATATCCTAAATTTTTCTACCTAAAAAATAAAAATGTCCACAGATCAAAGAGGCAAACCATGTGCTGGTACCAGTACAGAAATGGAAGCCAATGGGAAGCACAATTCCAAAGGCCCCTCCAGCCTGCTCCTTTAGGACCCTTTTAATGAGGGGAGATCACACCAACCTTGACTGCCGTCTCCACGCCCACCTGAGGCAGGCCAACAGCTCCTGCAGAGCTGCTGTAGCAGAAGCCTAGAAAGTTCTTGGCAGCGAGTTGTGCTACTGGATAGTTACTAAAGGTGGGCCAAGTTTGAATACTTCAAATTAAGGCATATTTTTAAAATATGAAAAGATAATAGACCTGCCATAGTACATACAGTAGCTACCAACCAGATAAATCTTGAAAAATACAGAAAATGGTGTTTATCTACAGGTAGACCAGTAAGGCTTCCCGAACATCATGCTAAGTATCTACACATGAATGGAACATGACACCAAGACAGAGACGCATTGTGCTCAGGATACTTTCACAAAGTCATTCTATGGACTGGGCTACAGACATTTATAGCTGTGCTGCCCAAACAAAACAAAAACAAAGCCTCTCAAACAAGTTTAGGAAACTTTTGTTTAAACAAAATTAAAAAGAATACTCTTAAAGCAGAAAACTCAAGAGGCAGTAGTTTGCTAACCAGCACTGTGAATTTCTAAGGGGCTCTGAGACATGGGAGTAGACTGTGCCTCATGGTATCAGTAGGTCACCACTGCCTTGAATAATATCTTTGGCATCTTCTGTATAGATTAGGAATCAACTCATAGAAGCAACATCCAACCTCAATGGCTCATAATAATGTGCACAGAACTGTGTGGATAACAAAATCCAGGTCTTTAATTTGAGTTAATACTTCTCTTTTACTAGTATTTCATCAGTGCCAACACACAGCTAAGGCCGGATAACAGATGTGATAAGAACAATAACAAAAGAATTCTGGGACTGGCCCAGATTCCATCTAGGAAAATATCCTTAAGAGAGCTCAAAGACCTTTTCCATTTTATTTGCCTACACTCCCTCTATTTGAGTGACCTTATAAGGGGGAAAAAACTGATAAAAATTTTCCAATATCATAGTTATCTTTGAACCAAGTAAGTTATTTTCTTTCTCTTTTTTTAATATATTTTTATTGATTTCAGAGAGGAAGGGAGAGAGAGAGAGAGATAGAAACATCAATGATGAGAGAGAATCACTGATCAGCTGCCTCCTGCACGCCCCCTATTGGGAACTGAGCCCACAACCTGGGCATGTGCCCTTGACCAGAATCGAACCAGGGACCCTTCAGTCCGCAGACCAGTGACAATCTATCCATTGAGCCAAACCAGGTAAGTTATTTTCCATTTCTAAAAGGGCCTCCATAAAGAAGCCCCTACAGAATACCGCCCACCCTCACAGAGTACACCCACATCTGGGAGAAAGTTAGGAGACCTTTCCACATTATGCCTCCTCCCTTGTTTCTGAATTTCGTGGAGCAGATGAGTTCCCCCCTAAAACCCATGTAATTCCTGAAAGTCCATAAGGACCTTCATGTTGGAGACACTTGGTAGTTCTCTTGAAAACTACAGTGTACTTAGTGAATGTAGGCAGAGAAAAGTATTACCCTTGAGAAAAAAGGAAGAGAATGAACACAGGGACAGTTACACCTGTCCCAAACAAACACTGTGCCAAAATATTCCAAGGTGGGCTCCACAAGCAAAATTATCGTTTCTACTCACTGATATGGAGTGCAATGGGATTATAAATGCAGAATTACAGTCATGTTACAATGATACCCATATTGTACATAGAAGCAGATTGAAGAGCAAATTAAAGAAGGTGGTAAACAATGTTCTAATAATTTGCAAACTTATGAGTGTATAACAAAAATTATGTGCTTTGTAGAATTTGGATTCGAGGCGCCAGGGTGATAAAGATTTGAAACTGAGCACAAAAGCTGCCAGGACTGACCGTAGAGCAAAATACATTAAAGGCACAGAGACATGGACATTTAGACTTTTTTGGAGGGGAAGGCCTTTTGTCCAGTAGTTTTATGATATCTGCCTTTTAATGCACTTATTTCTTCTTCAACATCAATTTCTGAACCAACTGTGTCCACCCAACTGTGTCCACTGCATTGCCTACACTACACACACCTCTTACTAAAAGTCAGTGACCTGCACTCCACATCTGTACTTCAAATCATTCTTCGCCCTATGATGGACCGTCTAGCCTACAGCGGTTCTCAACCTGTGGGTCGCGACCCCTGAAAATACATCCTGCATATCAGATATTTACATTACGATTCATAACAGTAGCAAAAGTACAGTTATGGGGGGGTGGGGAGAAAAAAAAAGTACAGTTATGAAGTAGCAACGAAAATAATTTTATGGTTGGGGGTCACCACAACATGAGGAACTGTATTAAAGGGTCGAGGCATTAGGAAGGTTGAGAACCACTGGTAGGAAGTTCTATTCTCACTTGTGGGTGACAATCCTTTTTTTATTCAAAACAAACAAACAAACCAAAACAAAACAAAACAAAACAATAACCTTGAGATGCTTGCTTCACTTAACAGACACCTCTGCAGCATTTTTAAAATCTCAGTTCAGTGTTCATAATAAACACCAAAGCAAAAGTGGAAGAGCTGCGTGACAAATGTCTTAGCTTTCCCTCTGAAAAGCTCCCCATTTCATGGAGGACACATACTGTAACTGCCAGGCAAGGGCAAAAGATAATATAATTCATGGGCCACAATCTGAACACAAAGACTATTTTTATGAGCAAAAACTGGAATGAAAGAGAGCACACTGATTTGTTTTGCATTGCTACCCATCTCATCAAAATTAAAGAAAAAGTTAAATTAAGCTTCACTTAGAGAAGCGCCATCATAAAAAGTGACTGCACAGAATTGGGCAAGGTAAGCCAATGTAAATAATAATGACAATGTCTCCCCAGCATTCCCTTTCCACCAGTTTTATTATTTAAAATTTTCTCAGAATGTGTAATACCAAAGTGGATAAAAGTGTTTGCTATGGACTTACCCTACTTGGGGCTGTCTGTGAACAACATACATTATCAGGAGAAAATGCATTTTTCTCCAAATGTCAAATTTTATTCCAGTCAACAGATAAAAATAGAAAAAGGTCGCTTCCCTAGAGACAAATAAATGCCACGAGAATTTTAAAATTATCTCATTCTGACACCAAATTCCACCAACAGTAGAGACAGCCACATTTTTATTAGGGACATGAAAAATTCAGTGTTACTCACAAGAATGGTTCCATAACTGAAAAGGAACTCTTCCGTTACAACTCGAGGTCGAAATACCTGCGTGGTGAGAGTTCCCATAGATTAGATCCTGAAAGTCATGGACAAGGGGAAAAAAATGAACATGTTTTGTCTGAGCTGGCGTTTCTCAGCTCTAGTTTACAAAAGAAAGGTTGAGTCACAGCCTCGCAGAGTGGCTCAGTATTTGAAAAGTCGACCCATGAACAAGAAGTTGCTGGTTCCATTCCCCGTCAGGGCACATGCCGGGGGTGTGGGCTCGATCCCCAGTAGGGGGCGTGCAGGAGGCAGCTCATCAGTGATTTCTTATCACTGATGTTTTTTCTATCTCTCTCTCCCTCTCCCTTCCTCTCTCTCTAAAAAAATTCTTAAAAATCAATAAAAACAATTTTTTTAAAAAAAAGAAGGGAGTCACAGCCATATTATTTTCCTCTGGATAAGATCATACCTGGGAGGTGACGAGGTGAAGCACCACGGGCATCAGGGGCAGACACAGCTTCAGCTGCTTCGCCTGAACTGGTGACGGGTGTTTACGACCGGACACATTAGCCAGGGCGGTGAGAATGTCACCTGCGGAGGTGAAGGTCACGGATACTCAGGGACCGCCCGTCATGGCTGGAAAACCAGTAAGATTGCTGAGGGAATGAACCTCCACGTAAATGGAGTGGAGAGAAGCTGAGATATTACTGACAAATATTGAGACTATAACAAAACGCTGTGGCTTCTAAACCTCTCACCTAGAAATCTGAGTTTATAAATAGCACGGTAGAGTGGGGGGGGGGGTCTTAGAAATAATTTTCCTTCCTTTTTTGTGTGTGTGTTTTCCAAATTTCAAGCATAAGCGCCTATTACTTTGGTAAACAGAAAAAAAAATTAAAGATGATAAGTGAACCGATTATAGATCACAATTTCTAATAGAATAGATGGAAATAAAAAACAGGTCAATTCATAAAACTTCTCATTGGATGATAAGCCCAATAGTAAATAAAACTTGTGTTGTGGATATTTGAACCGTATCATCATCTCCTAAACAGAATGAGTCTAGTAGTAAGAAACTTGACTCACAAAGCCTTCAGACTGAAGATTAAAGAAAGGTTACAATCCAAAATAAATTTCGAAATGCTCTATTTTCAGTCATTAACAGGCAAAAAAATCTCCCAAAGTATCAGTAAGAAGCACAGAGGCATATCATTCAGCCATGAAGATATTTCCATTACTCTGACTTCATATCATGAATTTCAGAGTCTAAGTATATTTTACCATAATGGGTGGGATCAGTTTAGCAATTTACACATTCCTGGTTTCATGCTACATCTGCTGCAAAAGCATGGAATGGGATTTAAACTAAATGTAAGCATCCCTTAGATTTTAATTTCTGCAAATAACAACGAAATCAGGGATTAGCTGTCATAAACATCTTTTGCAAATCATTATGAGATATTTTTTAATTTTTCAAACTATAGACAGTTTTCAATTTTAATATCGAAAGCCGTTAATATTACATGTTAATGGTTATGCATTCCTAAGTCCTTTTAACAATAAATTAATCTGTGGTTCTCATCTAAGAGAGTAAGTTTTTTAAGCGGAGAGAAATTTAAGAAAGGCTACCCAAGATTAGAGCCTAAGTCCAATTTTGAGCAATTAAAATGCTTTTCTTTTACTTATTTTTCAAAACCACCCATTTACCATAGATGACACCCCAACATAACCTTTAGCCAGCTCCTTGCCTCCATCACCTCACTGATGCAAAATAACTAGGAAGACAGATAAGGCACGTGGAGATCTTGAAACTACACATTCAAGACAGAGTGGCACTGCACTCGCCTGCAATCACACACCAGCGAGAATAAAAAGGGGGCGAGGCTGAAAAGCCAAGTCCCGGCAAGGTGAGCAGCGAGGGGCCTGGAGAGGAGACTGCGATTTACCCAGGAGGCGCGGCACTTCCCGCACCATGTGGCGGATGAGGAGGTCCAGGCATCTGGACAGGTACTCGCTGCCGCTCGGCTGCCGCTCCTTGCCTGGGGAGGTCTTCCTGCTGTCCCTCTCGATGTGCATCACCAGTCTGCAAGCAGAAGAGTGCGACAGGTCACCTCGCAGGAGGAGAGAGCTGATGGCATCTGTCTGAAGATGCCGCCGAGGCACCGGCTCCAGGGGGCGGGCGGACCCAATCATGCTGACATTCAGATGGGTAGCAACAGGTCAGGCGCAGCCCATTTTGGTCTCAGAAAAAGTCTCCCATTTATGCAGAAAGACAGGCAGACAGACAACTGGCATCCCCGCCAGTGTATGACAGGACAGCGCCCTGACGACGTCATCTGCCCTGGGCCCATGAAAAGAAACCGCATTCCCCAGGTGACGGTGAAAGGCAAACAAAGGCATCTGGACAGAAGACGGTTCTTGGAGTTTCGAAGATTCAAAGTAGAACCAACCACAGGTTGCCTGCACTTTCTCATCAGTATTCAACATATTCAACTTGCTTGGAACCTCGGGTCAATTGCATGAATTCCAGTTCCTTTAGTAAATTGTGTACATAAATCCAAAGAAAGAGTTTTGCTCCATCACCGGGTTTCATATGTCCTTTTGTCCAGTAGTTTTATGATATCTGCCTTTTAATGCACTTATTTCTTCTTCAACATCAATTTCTGAACCAACTGTGTCCACCCCAGAACGCGGGATCATATTGGACCATCACTCTAGGTCAGTGATGGCGAACCTATGACACGCGTGTCAGAGGTGACACGCGAACTCGTTTTTTTGGTTGATTTTTCTTTGTTAAATGGCATTTAAACATATAAAATAAATATCAAAAATATAAATCTTTGTTTTACTATGGTTGCAAATATCAAAAAATTTCTATATGTGACACGGCACCAGAGTTAAGTTAGGGTTTTTCAAAATGCTGACACGCTGAGCTCAAAAGGTTCGCCATCACTGCTCTAGATACTCAGGATGCTGTTCACAAGTTTTAGGCCCATATCCATCCCCTTTGCTGGACCCACCAGTCGTCTTCCCGTTCCCCTCAATGCTATAAAGCAGTGGTTCTCAACCTTCCTAATGCCGCGACCCTTTAATACCGTTCCTCATGTTGTGGTGACCCCCAATTTCATTGTTACAAATTGGACATAATGAAAGCATAGTGATTCATCACAAAAACAATATGTAATTATATATGTGTTTTCCGATGGTCTCAGGCGACCCCTGTGAAAGGGTCGTTGGACCCCCAAAGGGGTCAGGACCCACAGGTTGAGAACCACTGCTCTAAAGGCACAGAGCCCGCTGACTGCATCAGGCAGAGGCCCCTGGGCAGCGGCCCCCTTGCTGGCCTCCCTGGCCGCCATCCATCTCCCAGCTCTGTTCGCACACTCATCCCAGCCAACTGCTACTTCGCAGGGAGAACTTCCAACCAGCTCCCACTGCCAACTGCAAAGAGGTAGTTTACACGTAAAGGGTACTGAAAGCTTAACCCTTAGAATCTTTGTGGCTCTCTTAGCAGATTTATTCATGGTTTTGCCTTTCTGCTTATTATTATTTGGAGCCTTATGTGTGAACACATGGGGATAAAACTAAATCAAAAGTCGTAAGTGCAGCCCTGGCCGGTTTGGCTCAGTGGATGGAGAATCGGCCTGTGGACTGAAGGGTCCCGGGTTTGATTCCGGTCAGCGGCGTGTGCCTTGGTTGCAGGCACGTTCCCAGTGCGGGGTGTGCAGGAGGCAGCTGATCGGTGTTTCTCTCTCATCGATGTTTCTAACTCTCTATCCCTCTCCCTTCCTCTCTGTAAAAAATCAATAAAATATATTTTTTTAAAAAGTCGTAAGTGCCATGTAAGCCGGTTAGCATCCTCTGTTCTAGTTGCAGATGACAGCCCAAGCCACACTCTAACGAGTATATGACATTGGTCAAATGCAGAGAAAATATGCCTCAATCAGCAGAAATATATCAGTACTGCTTAAAGAATCTGACCACAAAACCTCTTGATTAATGAGTAAACCAAAGAAATAGGACTCCACTATTTCATAAGTGAAATCCAAAATTTGCAGAGTATAAAAAAGTAAATTCTCACTTGTCTATAAGGAGTCATATTTTTCTCTAAAATTTAAACGATCTATGACAAAATTTAATAACGTGCAGCTTAATTACCATAGTTTAAAATATCTTTAAGGCAAAAGCTACTCGAACAGTTTTCAAACGCTAGTACAGGCTGTTAACACATAAGAAAACACTCACTGGCTCTGCTGGGAGAAATAAAAGACTGATGGGCGCCATAACAATATGAAACAAACTCTAGAATGATGCTCCGTTTCTTCCTTCTGGGATGCTCTCCCCAATGCCTCCCATTACAGAATGTGTTTACACAAGCTACAGAATAAATTCACTTTGCCGACAAGGGAACATTAGTTACTAAAAGAATTCACAGTCTACGAGAGGAATAAAATATGGGAACATTTGAGGGTAGTATCCATAAACACTTTACCACTGCTCTACAACCAAACTGCACATGGTATTTCCTGGTGTCCTACAAGGGTATCAAGTTAAAAAGATCAACAATCTGAACAGTAATCCAAATAGACCACAAATAAATAAGATCCCTTCTTTGTTTTGCCTCCAGTGCCTTTAAGAGGATCATTTCTCCCCAGGATTGTGTTTCCCAATCTACTCCCACCCCCATTTTCCCCCAGGATTCATTCCCACTAACCGGACCACACTTTCCTTACTCCCATCTCGAAAGGAATCCTTATGCTCATTCCACACACATCCACCTCTATGCTTCCCTCCCTGCCTTCGAGAATGTCCACCTACTGTATCTCCATGCTTCCGTGGCCAAACGTGCCATGTCCTATACTCGTTCCACCCTCTAGTACAGGGGTGGGCAAACTTTTTGACTCGAGGGCCACAATGGGTTCTTAAACTGAACCGGAGGGCCAGAACAAAAGCATGGATGGAGTGTTTGTGTGAACTAATATAAATTCAAAGTAAATATCATTACATAAAAGGGTACGGTCTTTTTTTTTTTTAGTTTTATTCATTTCAAACGGGCCGGATCCGGCCTGCGGGCCGTAGTTTGCCCACGGCTGGTCTAGTACCTACGCCAGGGCAGCGCCTATCGTAAAATGAGCTCAGTGACAACAAGGATGACGACATCTCATCCACTCACTCCATGAACATTCGCAGTGTCTACTGCGTGCTGAGCGTTTTTCTAGTGGATGGGTATTCAGCTCATGGAATGCAAATTCAAGTGGGAAGAAAAAGGCAATTAACAAATAAATACCTAAGAAATCGTTAAGGTGATGATAAGCCTTATAGCAAAGATTGAAGAAGAGTAAGAAAGACACTTAGTCACAGGTCAGAGCAGGCCCTCTGGCAGGATGTCCTGTAAACAGAGGTCGGGAATGTGTTGAAGGGATGGCCACACATTCCAGGCAGTCGGGAGGTACATACAACATCCCAAAGGCCAGGCCATGGGTGGTGTGTTCTTCTGTGGCTGGAGCTCAGTGAAGGGGGAGATCAGAGAGCAAACCAGGCTCTAGCCCTTGTCAGACCTTGTAGGCCGTGGTAAGAACCTTGCACTTTACCCCCAGTAGGGAGGAGTGGCCTGATCTGATCTGTGGTTAAAGTCAGCACTCTGGAGACTGTGAGAACAGACCACAGAAACACAGGAAGACCAGTTAAGAGGCAACTGTAACAGCTCCGGTGAGAAACTGTGGTGGTAGTGTGGGAAGGATATGAATTGATGAAATACTGGATGTCTTTGTAAGGTATAAATAATTAGATTTGCTATTGGTTGGACATGAAAGAAAGAAAGAAACCAAGAGTAACTCCAAGCAGCTAACCAACAGGAAGGACAGAGCTGCCACTGATCGAGATGGGAGAAGATCGCTGGAGTAACACGTCTGCGGCAGGAAAACCATTATTAGACAGAGAAATGCCGATGTCGTGTTGGCAGCTGATGTGCAAGTCTGAGTTCACAGGGACGGTCGGGCTGGTGGCATTAATGTGAAAGTGCTCCTGGAGCAGATGATGTTGAAGGTCACTGAATTAATGAATCACCTGGGGAGTACAAGGCTCAGGACTGGGCCTTGGAACCACTACCACACGGGCTAACAGATGAACAAGGACCAGCAAGAGAAATGGAGAAGGAGTGACTGGTGAAGAAGGAAGAAAACCAAGAAAAGTAGCCACGCTGCCCAGTAGAGAGACTTCAAGAAAGAAGACAGTAGACGTCTAGTTTCTGGTAAAGGTGAGTTAGGCTAGTCAGCCAAGCCTTCCCACCACAACAAAACAACAATGAAGAGTGCTAATAAAATACATACCCATTTAATATATAATCACATCAAATTGTGTAGATTACACATAAACAAAAAAAAAGTGCCTAAGACAACTGTCTACTATTAAAAAAGAACTTTCAGTGAAAGCATCATACAGTGGTGTAAAAAGTGCTATATCAGAGACAACTTAAATGCAAAAGGAGAAGGTATACCCTGAAATACTGTGTCAGGTGACGCAGAACAAACTCAAGGAACTGATGTCAAACTCTGCGGTGACACTTCAATAAAGCAGTTTAAAAAGGGGCACGTGTTCTGTTGAAATAAGTGTATTTTATGAAATGTAATAACAAAAAAATCCTAAAGCAATACATTATTTTATTTTTGTTATTGCTTTTTTTAAAGCAATACATTATCTTATATATGAAATTGTAAGTACATATGTGTAACAACAGTAACAAATTAGGTATCTACCGTCACAGAGGGATATTTGTACATTTCATCAAATTCCTAAAAGATGTATATATTCAACAGGGTTCCAAAAGAAACGTCTTTTTTGAAACTTCCATTGCACGAGGCTTAGCACCACTAAGTAAGTAAGTTAGTAACTAACTCATTTACTATCATGGTACTCAACATAAATAGATACCGGATCAAGGAACTTACTGATAGCAAAAGAAGTATGGTAACCTGCTCCAGCCCATGAAATTCACTCATCTCGCCAGTATCCCATTAGAAAAGCCTAGCTTGACTGAAAGAAGGAATGGCCTCCTGACAACTCAGTCACAGCGCCAACTGGGAAACACAATGAAAAGTTGGGCTCTATCTTACGACAATGAAGCAAATGTTTTGAATCAGCAAGCAATGCTTTTGTCTCTTCCATTGTCTGAACACAGGTCTGGTAACCAAGGGGTAGAAGTGGGAGTGACCGCCTGTCACGATTCATCTAATAACCCGCTCACAGGATTTTTCTTCCCGTTTCCATGACCCTGAGCTCCGCTGGACTGCCCAGGAAGGAAAGTTTCCACCAGAGGCCACAACAATTCAATTTGGGGGAATGAAGAAGGTAACTCTACAGCAGCGGTTCTCAACCTGTGGGTCGTGACCCCTTTGGGGGTAGAACGACCCTTTCACAGGGGTCGCCTAAGACCATCGGAAAACACATATATAATTACATATTGTTTCTGTGATTAATCACTATGCTTTAATTATGTTCAATTTGTAACAATGAAATTGGGGGTCACCACAACATGAGGAACTGTATTAAAGGGTCGCGGCATCAGGAAGGTTGAGAACCACTGCTCTACAGGATGAGTGATCACGATTACCAAGAGAAAATCGGGGTGCTGCCAAACAGTGCAGACAGGGGCAGCCAGAACCCACGGGGGTCTCTGAAGAGCCTCTAGGTTCTTCCATATCTAATAGATAAAGTTCATGAAAACCTCCCAACCAAGAAAAGGCAGGTTCAGATCTTCCAGGTACCTGACATCCTTGGCCAATGTACAAACCTGTAATTCAAGGTTATTTGTGTCAGCAGACTGCTGGATCATAGGGATTCCTGATACACACTTGGAAATACCCTCAAAAAGGTAGCCCCACCACCAATTGGCTAAAAGTAGTCCCTTTACTTTGGACATAAGATAGTGATAGTTTCTTGTCTTAATTTGATATTACGATGGGTAGAAATAATATTTGCTTATTTCAATTTGCATTTTTTATTACTAATGAGGCTGAAGATCTGTTCACATCTTTATAAATCTCTTTACAGTACACAGATTGTTCTATATGATGCAAAAATGTACAGATTTTGTAAGCATGAGATTTTTGATTTATGATTTCGGGGGAATATAAAAGTATCTGATCTATATATAGTCCCAGAACTTCCTTTTATGGTTTCTTTCGTTATGGTTTCTACTCAAGAAAGCTGTCCTTACCCATATTCAAACATATTTTTTTCTTCCAGCTGTTTATAGTTTCTTTGGGTACATAATTCTTTAATCCATCTGGAACTGACTTTTGTATGGTGTAAGCTGAGAAGATAGTTTTTCCCACACAGTTAACCAATCACACAGGGTAAATATTTTTTTAATTGTTCTTTTAAGATCAAAGCAGCTTTTTTTTCACTCATAACCATATTAACAGCAATGCTATGGAGGCGGCAACAGCTCTAGGAAGACCTGATCCATCAGGAGGCACTGGCATTTCAGGCTCGCAGCAAACCCATACAATGGACATAAAAGACTATTCATCCTCCAAAAGGGTTATCATTTCTAGAGACACACAGGACCCTATTTTATCACCCGCCATATTCAGTATGAGCATGAAGCCATTTGAAAAAATAGGTGGAGATTCAGGGGCCATCATATCATTTTTATCCGATTCTGACAGCTCCATTTCACTGCTGCCACGCTAGAAAGACTTGAGATCTGACATCATAAAAAATGTGCTGAGATTTAATCCATAAAAGGCCAACGGTGACGATGGTAAGCAGGAAAAATATCTACATAATGCAGCAAAGGTTATCGTGGGCTCCTGATGTGAGCTTTGGGGTCTCAGCACACAGCAGCACGCGCTGAGCTCAGAACTCCAGCGGCCAGTAGAGTTTCAGGAGACAAGAAAGGAGGGGAGAACGTTTTTCCATATAAACTCATCACAGAGACTTTTAACATCTCTCTGGCCTGAGTCTGCCCCTCGTTTCCATACCTTTCTATTCAACCTTGCATTTTATGTGCCTACCAACTAATACGTGGGCTGCAGAGCACCAAGGAACAAATAGAAACCATCTTTGCACAGTCTGTACTGGTGCCTGTGTGTGTCTGGGAGTAATTTTATTACCGAATTTGATCTACAAAGCCTAAAAAATTTGAGCTTTGACTGCCTTAGGGGTTCTCCTTCAAAATTCACTGGTACCTATTGCTAATATTTCTTTTAGTTTTAAGGGGCTGTTATTTCATTAAATATTTTTCTTAATTATAGGAGTGAAATGTACTTATTGTAATAAGGCTAAAAATAAAAATGAATTAAGATACATAATATCCCCATCCCACCCTCCGCAGATAACCTGCATGTATATCTCGCCATGCAGGTTTTTAAAAATAAAATTTTATACAAATACATACAAATAGAAGAGTTCACTGACCACCTCTCGGTCCCTTTCCCTGGAAGGCAGGCTCCCATCACCGATGGGTGGATGGGGATGCAGGTGGTGCCAGGCCAAGAGCCCCGCCCCGCCGGTTCCCCCACACACAGAGGGCGACCCGCAGCAGGGGTGGGGCCGGCGAGCGGGCAGCAATAGCCGACCTCTCGGTCCCTCCCCCGGCCATCAGGCTCCCATCGCCGGATGGCAAATGGGGAACCGGGGTGGGTGGCAGTGAGATGGCCCTGATCACAGGCTAGGCCTAGGGACCGTACCTGTGCATGATTTCGTGCACCAGGCCACTAGTTAATAGTTTATCAAATGAGACATCAACTTCTAGTTTAGCTATAGCATCATGTGTTGAAGTATTTCGATACCAATGGACATGAACTATATTTCCAGATATTGACCACTAGAAACAATGCTACATTAGATACCCTCATGCATATTTCCTAAACAATTCATACCTCTATTTTTAGCAGCTAAATATCAAAGGACTGTTAGAACCAAAGTGGTGGGTACTGTTAATAGTCACAAGTGTTTCTGAGTTACTTTCCAAAAAGTTAGAGCTACTCACATTTCCAAGAGCCATGTTCAAAAGTGACTTTGGATTTCTAGTTCTGCCTAGTTGGCGCAAGCCCAATCCTCTCAAGTCCCCCATCTTAAAAACTAAAAATCCCTGGGCATACTGTTTTTAAAAGCACAGGAATGCCCAGCCGGCATGGCTCAGTGGTTCAATGTCAACCTATGAACCAAGAGGTCATGGTTAGATTCACAGTCAGGGCACATGCCCAGGCTGTGGCCTCAATCCCCAGTGGGGGGCATGCAGGAGGCAGCCAATCAATGATTCTCTCTCATCTTTGATGTTTCTATCTCTTTCTCCCTCTCCCTTCCTCTCTGAAATCATAAAACTACATTAGAGATCAGCACTATCATGAACACTAGTCATTGCTTTGATGAGGGGACATTAACTTTGACCCCTAATTAAGCAAAATGTTCTCTCTCCCCACCCACCAAAAAAAATTCTATTCTTCTCATTATACCTGTATTATAAAATATATGTACTCAATTTGTTTTCTCTCCTGTTATAAGTACCTACATAATATTCACAATTTTGCCTCTTGATGCACAAATCCTAAAATATTTACTCTCTAGTTGTTCACAAGAAAAAGTCTGACAATCCCTATTCAAGATCCATCTCAACAATGCCAGGCTCTCCTCCACATTCTATAATAATTATAATGGTAGATTGAGAAATAGATATTAGACCATGTCTTTAAGGTCTCTCTGTGATTCAACAGTGCATATGGACTAGACAGTTCAGAAGACGCTACTCAGGAAGCATTGAGTGTGAAGAGAACCGGGTACATGCAGGACGGCTCCGGGGAGGTGAGGCCCAGAGAGTGAGAGACCTGCCCGTCCTAACACTCCCAATCCCTGCCCTGCTCCTTCCTCTACTTCACCAGGCTGTCCTGCGGGCTGGCAACGGCACATTCCAGAGTCCTACAATGATGAAAACTACCACCAAGACCCTGGTCCAGGAATACCTCCCAAAGACGCAAGCCAGAGCCACCTCAACACCTGCCCTGGATCGTCCTCAGACCTGGGAAACTCCACCTAGTTCCCACCACCTGCTTCAGTTTCACAGCCTCCCTGGTCTCCAGAGTTTCCAAGCTGAGGCTGCACATGAAATAGTAAACCCTTGAGAAAACCGAGAAAAAAATTCAATTCCAGATACACAGAGGCTAAAAAATAATGAAACGGGCACCAATCTGAAGACGTTGATGAAATCATCAGAGACAGTCATACCTTGCTTGGCAGCTGAGCAGCAGCATCTCGTGGTTATGGATCAAAATATATAAAAGAACCAGGAAGGCTTTGGCTCGAATGGAAGTTGAGGGGCTGTCAAGCAAACGGATAATTGTAGAGACAAAATCCTGTGGAAGACATTAACATTTGCTTTAGAAAACAGGAAATAAATCAGGCAGTCAACTCTCAAGGTTAATGGATTATAATAACCAAACAGAAAGCAGGCAATAAAATAATATCAGCTACCATGTCTGCATTCTTAATTGTGCCAGATGCTATAGTAAATTTTTAGTATGTATGATCTCATTTAAATCCGAAAATTAGCCATAAAAAGTTGACAATATTCTCCCTATTTTGAAAAAGGAAAATGAATCTTGAAAGGTTAAGTGATTTGCCCAAATCCACAAAGTTGGATTCAAATCCCGGCCAGTCGGACAGCAAAGCCTGCCTCTTAACCACTCAAAGACACAAGTGCAAGTGTGGCCATGACTAGAACTGGCGGCCATCACTGCAGGCAGACAGGAGCCTCTGAGCAAACCTGCACATGCACAGGTCCTAGAGACGTAAAATAAAAACGATACCCCACACATGGCACAAGAGAAAACATATGCCCTATGTAATTAAAGGTATAATGCAGAACAGAAGAATAAGTATTACAGTTTTTTTTCCCTTCTAACAAAGAGATTGTACATCATTTCAGGTGTCTATTAATATGCAGAAAGAAAACATAGACACACACACACAGTTAATGAATGTAAGTAGGCAAGAATATGGAATTGTGTTGTCACCAAGATGGCTGCAGAGCAGGAATACAAATTCCTAAGAGTCCTTCACAGAGGCAGCACCTAGTGGTGACAACGTGTCCCAGGCAGATGTGAGCAGTTCGGTTTTTTTGCCATGCCCCGGGCCTTTCCAGTGGGTGCGATATTGTCAGACAGGAAGAATGTACACAGATGTACACAGTCAGGTGTACGTTTCTCTGAAGGATGGAGACGTATCTATGTATCTCTACCTATGCATTAGTCTCACCTAGTTCCTGGAAGGAAAAAGAAAGCCAATTCATCACCATTCTATTCAAAACAGTATCAACACCAAGGTTCCGTGAGTAACAGATCTGCTTCCACCTTGTGTCAGTCAACTATCCACCTTTCCAGCACAGACAGGAGAAAGCCCGGTTCCCCACAGTCACCTTCCAGTTCTAATGTAGACTCTGTGGTCCAAGGACCATGATCACAAATCTGTTTTCCACACCAACACGACCCTACACACACACACACACACACACACACACACACACACAATTCCAAAGCCATTCAAACATCCACTAGCCGAAGACTGAAAGACTACTCCAGATTCTAGGACACTAAAAAGACATGGTAACTGACTACAATTCAAGATCTGGAGGTTTTGTTCTGCATAACAGGACATTACAAGGACAATTGCAAAATCTGAATAAGGTCTATAGATTAGCTAATAATGATAAATTAATGTGAACTTGATTTTTAAATTCATGGCTTGTTTGGGGGGAATATTCGGTGAAATAATTGAAGGAAATATCTTCTCTACTTGGTAAGAACACACATGTAAGAGATAGAAAGAGAGAAAAACTATAAAGCAAAGATGGTAAAATGTTAGCCTTTGGTGAATGTGAGTGAAGGGTATATTGCAATCATTTGTATTACACATCCAACATTAAACTTAGCACCTAATCAAAAGGAGATCTACTCCAAGGATTGACCAAAAGCTAAAGTTAGAATTCTGAGCATCTTTGACTTTCTCTTCCTCCTCCATCCCATGTCCAATAGATTCCCAATTCCTGCGAGAACAACACCCCACCATCGATGCCTTATTTCAATGCACCATCTTTCCTGAATTACTGCAGGAGGCTTTATCCATCCTTGCATTCTTCCATCTATTCTATAAGATGCAGCTGCAATGAGCTTCTAAGACAGCAAATACGATTATGTTAGTCACCTATAAGCTATTATGTTCAACTATTCTCAACGGTTGCTGCGACCCTTGAGATTAAGTCAGTACTAAGATTCTTGCAAATTAAAATAGTACACTTAGGATTTTGAGTGAAACCAACAAGGCAAACTATAGGAAATACCAGAAATAAAGGAAACAGGATTCTGAAGAAGACTGCCATTGGGATCTAGGCCTAAAAGCATCTCGTGCCCTAAATCAATTCTCATTTGGCCACTTCAGAAAAACTGAATGAGCAGCACTGACCACCTCCCTACACCTAGTTGCCCAGGGCCCCGTGTTTAATCTTACACAACGGCACCACACTTCTAGAACAGTTACTCTTACAACACCCGAGGAGGGAAGATTACAGATTACATCCAAGGCTTAATGCCATGGATGACTAATCAAACGACCTTCAGAGAAGCACAAATGACCTCGGGTCACTTCGGCACGCAATCCACTGTGTACTCAACTTCGATTGAAATCCACCTGGCCATTCAGCTCAGCACACCTAGAAATTGCATGTGGGAACAAAAAGCAGAAGCCAAACCACAGCAGGATGAGTTTATGTCCAACATTCAAATGGTCCTTGACAGAGATTTCAGAATGGACATATCTATCGAACATAAAGATGATGGGACGGAATATTCAAAATGTTAGGAATGGGCCCACACAGTGGAAGCATCCACCACAAACAAAATGTTACCCTTATCATAATTAAGCAAAAGGATGAGCCATCCCTTAAAAGGGGAAATTAGGAGGTGGATCAAAATAGTGATGAGGTAGAACACTTCAGAATTATCTCTTATAAATCTCAAGCTGTGAAACTGATCTGCTTCAATCAACTGTCCCAGGAGAAAATCGAGGAGGACAGCCTGGCCATCGCTGATAACAGCCTCCAGGAAAAGCAGTAAGAAATCACGTGCATAACTACACTGACACAATTTTCATACAGACAGAAATGAAAACCATGCTGATTAAATCTAAGATGGCTTTTGGATTCACTTTCCTTAAAGAAGTTTAGCCAGGTATCTAAGTAAAAAATGTCTCAAGCAGAATATATTTATTAATGAGGACAAGTTAAAAATATAATACGCACTCATAATCTGATTAGCATGCATAAATTTCCATCTTTTAAAAGCTTGATTAGCAACCATTGATTAGCAACCTTAGTAAACTTAGCGTTCAGATTTTTCAAAATTCTGCAGGCACGAAATTTCATAGTGATCTTCCACAGTGCTTACAAATAACAGAGGTCTGCGGCTTCTAGTTTATTATTCATCACTGTTGTGCTGCTTGGTCCAAATGCTAAACCTGAAGCGAGGCTTCAGTCAAACCAGACTGCACAAACGGAGAGAGACAGCGGCTCCTGTCAAAATTAATAAGCAAAAAACTTAAAAGGCAGAATCTTCGTCAATGGCACTCAGAAGGAAGCCATCTGACTGGTGAGCCTGAACAAATTCACCTGTGGAATACAGTAGGGCTTTAAAAAATTCGTGTTCTATCATTAAGTGACCCCCAAAGCAAACGAAGTCCAAAGGATGCATTACTGATGATCCGGCTACGAAGTCCATTCAGAGTCACAGACGCCAGGAACAAAATGACTGAGGCCGGTGTTTGAATCTATGTAACTTAAGTTGATGTGAGTTTTTTAAGCTCAATTAATTGAAATGCAGCAGAATGGGATTCCAGAAGTTTCATATGTTTTCGATTTCCTAACATCAAGAATCTGGCACTGAGTTCTTAACATAAGCTTTTTGTGTGTATTTTTAAGCCACACCAGTGATTTAATTACAAAGCAGTTATCTAGTTAAGTGTAATATTCACATACTTTCCCCTTCTCTCTATATGCATACACACACACACACACACACACACACACACGTATGTATAGACACAGTTGTATTTATATGTGAATAAACCTCTGTGTGCATATGTCAGTGCAGGTCTAGGACAACATACTATCCATCACCCTTATTCTCATTATCTGGCTTTAACTTATTCAAACAATAGGAAAAGTATGGATCACCAAACAGTGTACAATTGATCCCATTTCTGTAAAAAGATTCTAATGGCATGTGTGTGTGGCAACAGGAAGGAGGGAATTCAGCGGTTCTCAACCATATAGCATATCAGATATTTACATTACGATTCATAACAGTAGCAAAATTACAGTTATGAAGTAGCAACGAAAATACTTTTATGGTTGGGGGTCACCACAACATGAGGAACTGTATTAAAGGGCCGCGGCATTAGGAAGGTTGAGAACCACTGGAATAGATGAATGTATGTGTATGTGCACATATACTAGTATATTCGCAACAAGTGTGAATTTGAAAGATATCAAAATTTTTAAAGAGATTATCTTAGGGAGCTAAGTACTTTATTTTAGTCTTCTCCTACCTCCCAACCTCCTGCCATGTCCCTTCATCCCTGCTGCCTACATACAGCTTTGCTGGCCTTCTTTCTCTCCCCAGGTCTCCCCAACACATCCCACACCTCAGAGAAGCCCAACTACCAAGTTCTTATTTGACCAGCTTGTGAAATATCATTTTGAAACTAAATTAATTCATGCCTGTGCTCGGGTGAAAAAAGAAAAACTGCTAAAACTCTCAGCCTCTATTATCACAATTTACACAGTCAAACTACTCGAGTGGTGCTTTTTCTAATACACTGACAACAACATTAATGACTTGGAAAATTTAGTAGCAAAAATTAGATATGCAGACTGTTGGAAAAAAATACTTTCTCTGAGGCTCGCATCTCTTAGCAAAGTCTAAATCAGACTAATTAAAGGCAAGCAGCGGCTTGCTCTCCGTCTGACTTTCACAGACCAAGTTTACTATGCAAACCTGACCATTATTAATAGTAACTATCGAAATTTTAACTTCTAGGATGAAAATCAAAATTGAACGTGCTGCATGCGATGCAGAGGAGCCACAGGAAACGCGTAAGTGGGTCCATTCACACTCAGCGGCGTCACCGTCACTGTTCTGCAAGCCCCCAATGTGCCAAGCATTTCCCTCCGAAAAGCGATCCGTGGTCCCATAAGGTATAAAAACGCTGCACGGAGATTCCTAAGACACATGAGCACATGAAATTCTCTCTTTAACGCACTACTTCCCAAATGTATATATAACCACGGTCCACTTTTTCACCTGTTAACACCTCACTGAATTGAACACTAATACTCTAGGACAGGGCTTCTCAAACCATAACGTTAAAACACGTCACCTATGTTTACACGACCTCAGTAAAATGCCTATTCTGATTCTGCAGGCCTGGGGTGGGAGCTGGGGGAGGGTTGGGGGGGAGCCTGGGGGGGGGCCTGGGGTCTGCGTTTCCAACACCCCCCCAGAAGACACCAATGCTGGCCCAGGGACTCTCTTCAGCAAGGACTGGAGAAGACACTTTTTTTTAACTTTTTATTCTTGTATGTGCCCTGACTGGGATCGAACTCGCAACCTTGCTGTCTCCGGACAATGCTCTAACCAACTGAGCTACCCAGCCAGGGCCTAGAGAAGATACTTTGAGGAAGGCTACCCTCAGAGCCTTCTTCAGAGCTCTACAGTTTTGTGATGTGATTTTACAAACGACTGTCCATGAATTAACGGGAAAGCAAAGCAGAAGGGGACTAAGTTAAAAACAGGAAGAAGGGGGCTCTCAGGGTACGTGGCACTGACAGAGAATTAGACAAGGAAAGGAATAAAAATGAGTCCCTAAGGCAGGCAAAAGAGATGGGGGGAAAGGTGGAGGAAGAGGAGGAGGGGGATGAGGGGGATGAGGAGGAGGACGAAGAGGACGAGGTGCAGGATGAAGAGGAGGAGGAGGAGGGGGAGGAGGAGAAAGCTGAGGGGGAGGCATGAGAAATACTAGTGTATAGAAAGGACATTTTCTAGCTTTTCATTACTGACATGGGACCAGCAGGCAGAGCCATTTCCATTTTCATCACTAAAAGACTCTCACAACATCTTCGGATGAGTGGCCTACGGTACACAGGTTTGGAAAAGTTCAGAAAGGTCCCTTGAGATGAAAATTAATCCTACAGAGATGATATTCCTCGTCCACTAAAACTGCGGAAGGAACAGTTTTAAGGCAGGGCACTGGGCGAAGGGGACGGCAAACCTTTTCCTGGATTAGTCTCTGCAGGTGGATCCCACAGGACAGCATGGCGGTGAACAGGGTCAGCAGGTACTGCTGGACTCTGCAGATGGCGGAGGCCAGGGCGGCGATCACCGAGGTCAGGCCCACCTTCTCAATGACGTTCTGGAAGGCGGACGGGGAGTGGCGAGTGATCCTGCACAGGGCCTGCGGAGACAGGGGACCGGGCCTCAGTCTCTCCAAGGGCAGCTGCCAGGCCTGTGCAGCGTAGAAGGCACTTACCTCGCTCCTTCGTCACTGCTTTTGGCTTAAGTGAGCTGGAAATTATCAACACATTTAAAAATAAAACAATAATCCAGCTGCTAATGAAAACTAAAGTTGTTTTAAAACATTCGCTACTCTAGCCGAAACCGGTTTGGCTCAGTGGATGGAGCGTCGGCCTGCGGACTGAAGGGTCCCGGGTTCGATTCCGGTCAGGGGCATGTACCTGGGTTGCGGACACATCCCCAGTAGGAGATGTGCAGGAGGCAGCTGGTCGATGTTACTCTCTCATCGATGTTTCTAACTCTCTATCTCTCTCCCTTCCTCTCTGTAAAAAATCAATAAAATATATTAAAAAAAAAAAACATTCGCTACTCTTAAAGTAATAGTCATATAAGTTATGGTGAGCTAACTATGATAAACTAATTCATAAGTCTAGATAGGAAAACTTCCCCTTAAGTAATGAACATCATTAAGTGCCTTCTTTTGCAGACACTAAGCTAAGGGCTGGGGAAATAGACACAAAAGTATGTATCTAGCATTTATTGTTTAGTATGTGGAGAACATCTGCAGACTAGCTCATTTGATTCTCCCAACAATAGGTAAGTAAAGTATTATTATTAACCCCACTTCATAGACGGTAAAACTAAGGCATAAAATATTTAAGCCATTTGCCCAAAAACATATAGCTAGTAAGTGGCAAAGCTGGAATTCAAACTGAGGTTATCAGACCCCTGGGCTTTTCCTAAATTGCTCATAAACTATTAGAGATAAAGCCTGTAATTAATAAAATGTAGTAACTAACAGAATGTAGTACGTGTTGGAATTGGAGTGGGCTCAGTAATCGTGCTCAGAAAGGCAGGAAAGGCCACTCAGCCACAGCTACCTCAGCAAGGTGTGCTGAGCCAGTTCCTGCAGGGGAAGGAGGAAATGGACGGCGGGAAAGGAAGGGAGAAGAATTCTAGGCAGAGAGAGAGAATGAGGATTCCCATGGCGAGGGGAGAGGAAGAGCATTTGTCTGATGCAAGCAGACCTTGCTTCGGGGGAAGGAGGGCAGGCAGAGAGTAGGAAAGAAAACAGGATCCATCTGTAAAAGTAGGCCCAAGCCAAAGAAGGCCTACCAAGCTAGGACCTTCTAGTTGTATGCCGTGAGCCAGCGATTTTACACCGGTGTGTGGCAAGAATTTTTAGAACATGCATTACCTGACTATTTAGTCCCTTAGGTTGTCAAATAAAAAGTGACAATGGCCAACACAACAAGAGCTGTCCGGTGTAAGTGAATCAAAGTTATATCTATTTTTTGTCAGATCGGCAAAAATATATTTTTTGGCGTGCTGCAGAATTTTGGTAATTAGTTTATGTGTGTCATGAGATGAAAAAGGTTGAAAATTGCAGCCATAAGCAAAGGGAAAACCTCAAAAGTTTTAAGTGAGAGAGGGGCATGGTCATATTCCGTGTGTCCATGGGAGACTTCAAAGAGAGACATAAACTTAGGCCAGAAATAGTTTTACAAAAACATTCCTTATAATTAATGTCATAACCTCCTTCCTGATTTATATTTAAAATGGATTTATAGCCTTGATTATGAAAAGATCAAGTATAAGATGAATTGCTATTATGAAAAGATCAAGTAAAAGATGAATTGTTAGAAATATTACGATGTCAAAAGAAAGGACGGCAGGCGGGAGGGAGGGAGAGAAAAGATAAAGACTTTGAAAAATATTTTCATTTTCTTGAACATCTCAGGAAAAATTTTAATATTTGTTCCATCTCCAAGAATGAACTTCCTTTAGAAGGTATTCCTATTGATGAAATAAGGAAAACAAGTGCTGGCTGGCATAAAGTCAATCTCCCACCAGAATGACATGTTTAAAGTGATGTATTTCTTTTATGCCAAACCACACTTCCAGTCTTTATGAAAATGCTAATGTGACCTATTACAACCAGAAAGGAACAGGTAACACACATAGCTGTCCTCAGGAGAGAGAAACGGAGGTGAGAGGTAAAAAAAGAAAAAAGGGCGCCGGCCAGTGTGGCTCAGTGATTGAGTGTTGACCTAAGAACCAGGTGGTCACGGCTGGATTCCGGTCAGGGCACATGCCCGAGTGGCAGGCTCATACCTAATAGTGGGGACACAAGAGGCAACTGATCAATGATTCTCTCTCATCATTGATGTTTCTATCTCTCTCTCTCCCTCTCCCTTCCTGTCTCTGAAATCAATAAAAACATATAAAAAAAATTCTTTTTAAAAAGGACAAGGAAGAGTCTTCAACCTTTTCTGTCTGCTGTTCAAATTTTTCAAATAAATGCATATTATTAGGATTTTAATTACATTCCAATGCCATGACTGCATTAGACATTTTTTAAATTACTACAAGGAAATAAGCATTTATAGGAAAAGCTTACTTTATTAGTAATGTATACATTTACTACCATTTCTGAAGTTACTAAGCAAACAAATATATTGAAAAATTAACATCTGCAAAGCACTAATATATACTGTTCCCTAAAAAAAAAAAAAAAAGTGTCCCTTTCTTCATGGAACTGATTAGCAAGTGGGATCCTTATAAAAGTCCTATTTTAATCATTCAAAAAGGACAACAGACAACAGGATCTCAAACTGATATCTGCACTCCCATGGTCATTGTAGCATTACTCACAACAGCCACGGTATGGAAACAACCTAACCACCGGCAACAGATGACGAGGGGGGAAAAAAAATGTGGCCCAGACATACAATAGAACGTTATTCAGCCGTGAGAGACATGAAAATCCTGCCATTTGTGGCAACATGGATGGGCCTTGAGAACATCCTGCTGAGTAAGATAAGTCAGGCAGAGAAAGACAAATACAGTATGAAATCACTCACATGTGGAATCTCAAAAAGCTGACCTCATAGAAACTCAATGGTGGTTGTAGGGAATAAGAGGGTGGGGAAAAGGAAAGATGTTGGTCAAACAGCACCAACGTCCAGTTTTAAGATGAGCAAGTTCTGGGAATATAATACAGAACATAATGATTACAGTTAATAATACTGTGATGTATATTTGAAAGTTGCTAAGAGAATAGATCTTAAATGTTGTACCAAAAAAGAGAAATGACAGTTATCTGATGTGAGGGGGGTGCAAGCTACCACTATGGTAGTGATCATTTTATAATATACTAGAGGTCCGGTGCACAAAAATTCGTGCAAGAGTAGGCCTTCCTTCCCCTGGCTGCCAGCACCGGCTTCCCTCTGGCACCCAGGACCCAGGCTTCCCTCCACCCGCCGGCAGGCACCCAGGACTCAGGCTGGCTTCCCTCTGGCCCTGGCTTGGTCAGGAAGGACGTCCGGAGACGTCTGGTCAAATTAGCATATTATCCTTTTATTACTATAGATAAGGACCAAATCAGCATGTTGTACACCTTAAACTTACAGTGTTACATGTCACTTATCCTATATAATAAAAGGCTAATATGCAAATTGACCAAAGAGCAGAACGACCGGTCGCTGTGACATGCACTGACCACCAGGGGGCAGATGTTCAACGCAGGAGCTGCCCCCTGGTGGTCAGTGCACTCCCACAGGGGGAGCACCACTCAGCCAGAAGCCGGGCTCACGGCTGGTAAGCGCAGCAGCGATGGCAGGAGCCTCTCCCGCGTCCACAGCAACGCTAAGGATGTCTGCTGAGGGCTCCTGGACTGCAAGAGGGCGCAGGCCGGGCTGAGAGACCCGCCCCACAAGTGCATGAATTTCATGCATCGAGCCTCTAGTATCTCAATAAAGCTGAAAAAATAAATCACTGACTCCATTTCAAACTTAAACCAGAAATCTGTCTTCATTTACAGGCAGCCATATCAGAATGATATTCCGTGATATAAACTCTACTGTAAACAGCTTTCAAGTAACTTTTCAGTCTCTCCTCTTTCTTCCGAGGGAGTCACAGGTGGCTAAGTTGGATGCCACAGTTTGGAAGCTATGAAAGTAGACTTCTTCACGTCTACAGCCCACACTGTATCTGTTTCCATAGAAAAGTAGCAGCTAGTATCTGGAAGCGGGAACAGGAAACATAAATTCACTAAAAACAAATCTGGTTCGGAAAGTGAACGTTTTAAAAATTCATTTATGATAATCCTAAGAAAATTGCTGTTTAGAAAATCAAAACAGAATTGTTTCATTATTTTTCTAATCCAAGAATTTAAAAAAAGAACATTTTCAATAGAGTCCTTAAAGATCATGCTACAGCCAGAACTTTTCAAGCAAATTAAGGGTCCTCCCAACAATGACTTCATTACAGAGAAAAACTAACTTTTTATCGATATAAAACCCCTACCCAATCACAATGGGCACATTTCGTGATCAGAGACTTCTCAAGACCACTTCTAAGCGTATTCAAAGCAACATAGGGCGACTGGAATGGTCTGGTCTTTGGAATGCTGCTCAGAAGCCCAAGCCTCTCCATGAACTGGCCGCTCTGGATATTAAGCTCTGGTACAGGGCTTCTTGGAGGCTTAAGAGCACATAAGTGCTCGTATTTTCTGAATTTAAAAGAAAAATCAGATCTCAAGTGGTATGGTTTTGAAGTATTTATTTATTTTAAAATAGAGTTTGAGACGACATTCTAAAACTGGGAACAATAGTTCCAGTTCAAAATTTGCTTCCAAAAGAACATTGCATTACCTTCAGAATTTCTATTCAATAAAAAGCTCTCTGAGAAATAGACTAATTCAAAGAGAAAGCTGTGTACATATTAGATATGTGAACAGGATCACTGCCGAAGAAATTTAAGAATCATTCCTCTTTTGTCTTTTGAATGTTTTACATGCCATATTAAAACCACCTTGGAAGTAAGTTTTTTCAAACTACACACACTCTCCTCCAACCAAGAGATTTGAAAACATAAGAATAGGGGCAGAGAGGGGATAAGAAGACAGAAAAGAAAAAGAGACATTTTTTGTATAATTGGCAAAATGTCAGTGAAAAATTATTTAGATGAATGCTAAGAACAAAATACCAGAAGCCCAAGATGAAAAATGAAGCTTCATGGGTCAGATGAAGAAAGGGCTAGAAAGTACAAGACTGGTGCGAACAACTGGAAAAACTTAGCCAAGAAAAGAAACCATGCAGATATAAAGATGGATGTGAGAACATGAACCCAATTAAAGCAAGACAGATTTTTTTTAAAGGCCAGGATTAAAATGAATGCCTTAAGATATAATCCCAAGACGCCTGGAGAAAGTTCACTGGCATACTCTGTGACTAACTCTGACGGCTCCTCCATAATTACTCACATGGTAATTAGGTTTTGTAATTTTGAACTCACATAGCTCCTGAAGCGGGGGAGGAGGTGGAGGAGGAGGGGTGTGTGTGTGTGTGTGTGTGTGAGACGCTATATATCCTTTGCTTAAGATACTCTGTGAGCAGGATTGCTAGCCCTTTATTTTCAAAATTACATAGGTGAATTAGGATAAGAACTAAAAAATATCCATAAACACCCACAGGATTTAGCAACATGCAAGTCATTACAGATCTCACCGGGATCAGCTTCAGTGACATCTTTAGGACAGAGAGCAGACTGGGTGAAGGAAATGGGCCAGAAAGGAGTGATAATTTGTAATGACAACTCTGTATACACAAGTTTGGCGGTGAAGAGGGATATGCAGCCGGGAGTCCTTTGGACATATTTGTGTGCTTTTGTTTGGGTTTGTTTTGGTTTTGTAATGGGGCAAAGAATACCTGAATGCTGATTAGAAAGCTCCAGAAGGACAGGTTAGAGATTTAGGAAAGAGCAAAAATAACCACCGAGTGAGGCTCCCAAACAGGGCCCAACACACAGGCCTGGAGAAACCCGAGCGGTTTGTCTGACAGGAGAAGAGACAGTCAGAGGCAGCAGGAGGGGAGAGCTGAGGAAGGTGTGGATGGGAACACACCTCTGATGTGCAGGCTCAGGTGAGGGGAATTCCCACTGGATGTCCTCACCTTCCCCTGGGGAGTCATTTCCTGAGGGTGCCGAGGGAAACGCGGGATTGGAGATGTAAGGAAAGCGGGAAGTTAGGGAGCAGCCACAGTGGGGAGTGTACGAATGAGCAGACAGAGAAAGGCAGTGAGGCTGCCAGGTAATGCTGAGCGGTCAAGGGATTAGTGTCCAACCAGGGGACAGAAACTAATGTCACGAGGAAGGGCTGTATTTCTTCAAAAGACTAGTAAACGGACACAACCCTGTTAACACGTCTTCAAACATAATTATCCTTTATACCAAGTTATTTTGACTTTGTGTGCAAAGTAGCAGACAACGAATCAAAATACAAAACCCGAAAAACCACAGACGCCTGGGGATGAATTCATTTGAACCACGTGATAAACCCATTTAATATAAAATCCAAGAGAGGGAGCTGACGGGAACACTAAAAATATACCAAACCAAATTCTGCTTTTCCACTATCGCCTCCATATAGTTTTGGTTATATCATGGTTCCTCCCCTCCCCCAGGTCCCAACAGAATTTCCTGACAGGGCCAATGTTGTCCAGCCCCTGCTATGAAGCTTCTACTGTAGGAGAAAATCAAGTCATTGTTCTCACCAACTATTACTCGGATGTTCCTGTTTCCTACCTATTCAATTACTCTATTTCTCGCACAACTTTTGCAAGCTTGGTGTTCAAATATATGCGAATGTATCCCCCAAAGATGCTCCATCTTACCGATATTGCTGTGATCCTGAGAGAATCGACAGTGGAGTGTTTGAAGAGGTACCATAAGACGGGTCCAATCTCTGCCGTGATGAAGCCCTGGGCCTGCGCAGAGCAGGTGGTGCAGACGTTCTCGATAATCTTCGCTGCCATGTGGTTCACCACACGTTCCTCCTGCAGGAGGGCAGAGAACAAGGAGGAGGTGAAAAGGGTGTTACTTAGTATGGGAAATAGACATGTCACTTTTTCATGACCATTGCCAATAAAGGCCTGACACCAGGAGGGTGTGAGCTGCCCCTGGATGGGTTAGGTGTTTTAGGAGGTGTGACCATGCTTTCAGGCAATTATGAAGCTATTACCAATAACCTAGCATAACGTAACAAATTTTAATAAAAAAGCTGAAATAATATGGAAAAAAAACACACAATAAAAGCATAACGAAACTGGAAGGTGACTTGAAAGACACAAGGAGCAGGCAGAGCAATCCTCAGAAGTCACTCAGGGCCAGGAATAATTAGTGAACCAACTGGCCAAAGACCATCTACACATGAGGCATCGAGGAAAACCTAAGAAAGGTGTAGCCTCAGTAATGTGACCAAACAAACCCGTAAGGCGGTTCTGGATTGTCCTAACAGCGCTTAAAATCCAGCCTCAAAAAGGGTCAAACTGTTTCCAAGGAACGCAAATGAGTCCAAGAAAAAGGACAAAAGCACGTAAAGGAATTCAGAAAAAGTCCAGCACCCAACAATATAAAAATCAGAGTGTCTGAAATCCAGTGAAATGTTACCACACATGCCAGGAGGCAGGAAAATGTGACTCATAAGAATCAGTAAATTCGCCCTGGCCGTGGGACTCGGTTGGTTGTGCATCATCCCGTACACCAAAAGGTTATGAGTTCAACCCCTGGTCCGGGTGTATGGGGTAGGCAACCAATCAATGTTTCTCTCTCTCCCTTCCTCTCTCTCTAAAATCAACCAAAAGCATATCCTTGGGTGAGGATTAAAAATATATAAATGTTAAAGTATTGTATGTCTGATGTAATCCCATGTTTGTTTAACAAAATGTATATATTTTTATTAATATATATATACATATGTATATATATACACATATACACACACACACACACACACACACACACACACACACACACACACATATATATATATGTAAAAGAAGGGCATACAATACTCTGTTCACTGTGATTACAACCGGAGGGGGTTGTGGGGAGAGGGATGCACTAATTTGACTTTAGACATTTGTACATCGTTTGCATTGTTACGGTATGAGTGTATTAACTTTTCAACCCAAATTTATATATTTTTCATGAAAAAATATTTTTTAATGAGAAAACATTGAATTACATCTATTTTCAAGCCATAGTTTTATGCTCTACTAGCTATATATTCCTGGGCATTTTGTTCCCTGTGCCTCAGCTTCATCATCCATAAAACAGAAATAATAAAACACAAGGCAGTTTAAAAATTAAATGAGGCAACATACAGCCCTGGCCAGTTTGGCTCAGTGGGTAGAGCGTCGGCCTGCAGACCGAAGGGACCCGGGTTCAATTCCGGTCATGGGCACGTACCTTGGTTGCAGGCTCCTCCCCGCCCGGGCCCTGGTCAGGGCTCATGCAGGGGGCAACCAATCGATATGTTTCTCTCACATCAATATTTCTCTCTGTCTTTCCTCCTTTCTTCCACTCTCTCTAAAAATCAATGGAAAAATATCCTCAGATGAGGATAAAAATAAAAAATGAGTCAACATACATGAATACTTAATCTAGGTCATAAAAAGTAGTAAATTCTCAATGTGTTAGCTTTACTTCCTATTATTATTTAATGCTATATAGTATGAATTGCAAGGCTGCTAGAGAAGAAATGTCAAAGATATTTGAACTCTCTCAAACTCTGACACATTTTGTCTCTCAGAATGAGCACTGGAGGGAATGCTTCTCCCCATTCCTGGTGTTTCCTTCCACGTAGCTAGGATACATCAATGTGACACTTGTAGCCTCTATTCCTTCACTCAGCTCTACCCAAGGGGAAATACAAGGCTTCATCTAGTTGCTAACAGGATGTGCTAGGAGCTCAGTTCAGCTCCTCCCCTTTTCCCTGACAAAGGCCACCCACAGAGTTGTCTTCTTTTACCCTCCCCCCATGGACTCTGCTTGGAGATTGCTGCTTTGGGGGGGAGGGGGGGGGCAGCTACTATGATTCCCTAAATATGGGAGTTCAATATAAGGAAGCCTATTTGCCCATAGATGTAGCTATGTCTTCCGCCCTAGCTCTCATTATGTACATATTAGTATATAGCCTAGTTCTCCTTATGTACAGATATGCCCTAGCTCTCTTTATGTACATACTAGAGGCCCAGTACACGAAAATTCGTGCACTTGGGGGGGGGGGTCCCCTCAGCCCAACCTGCGCCCTCTCGCAGTCCAGGAGCCCTTGGGGGAGGGCTCCCCATGGGGAGTGGGCCTAAGCCACAGTCTGGCCTCCCGCTGCAGGAGGCAACTGGCGAGGTGACCCGTGGGCTGATTGGGGGATGGCACTGGCCAGCAAGCAGCTGGCCCCACCCCCAATCGCCCCTTCACCACTGCCAGTCACCGTTGCCCCCCTATCTCTCCCTCCCCCCCGATCGCCATCCCCTCTCCCTGTCCGCTGACACCTGCCTTGGCTGGCCTGGTGCCACCCACTTGCTGGCCCCACCCCCCACTGACCTGCCTTTCCAACATTCCATTGATTTGCATATTAGGCTTTTATTATATAGGATGTGCCCTAACTCTCTCATTACATATATGCCATTTTTGTCCGATATGCCTTGCTCTGTCTCATTTCTCATTAGGTTCTGAAACTTTTCCCGAATGTGGAGGGAGAGGAGCTATTATGTGAAACCTCTCAAATACCTTACCATGTGCTTTAGAGCATAACTGTCAGTCAATTCCTAGAGGACTCACTCCCAGTCCCAGAAGACCACACCTACTTGAGCACCCAGGTTGGAAAGGGGCCATGTGTCACCCAGTGTTCTACAACTCAGGGAGACTGTCAGGCCAATTCAACTCCCTCCTGCCATCCTGGTCCCTCTGGGATCCCCTGACGGACATCACACAAGCGCCAGGATTGGGGCTATTTTCTGCTTAATTAACTCTTCAGAAGGGATAACGGAACTAAACTAATATCTGTCATTTAAATCAAAGACCAACTTCATCATATCATGAGGATAAAAGCTACGATGATTAGAAAATGATCCTATGAAATAAGCCTACGATAATTAGGCTTTTAATGAATAGTTGTACTATGTTTTAATGGTGTTAAGCAGATCTAATGTACTGCAGGTGATAGGGGAAGAAATAGAATATTGGGGATCAGCTAGAATTGTAAGGAATATTAATCATGCTCTGTTAACTGTGATTGGGTTGTTCTGATTAAAGGAGGCACATTCTAACCAGGCTGGGAATTGCAGGTGGGACCTGGGAGCTCACCTGGAAATGCAGCCCGTCCTCCCCCTCAGGGAGCTGCCTATTGTCATGGAAATATTAACAAACTCCTTGCAGAAACCAGAGGTGTCAGCCCTTTGAAGACCCACAGGCCTTTACATACCCACAGGCCTTTGCAAATCTCCAGCCCCCATTCCCTGTAAACCTCACATTTGGCCTACCCTTTGCCTCCTTCCCCATGTAATCTCTGTCCTTCTACCCAATATTAACATCTGGCTTATAGTGAGGTGGGGGGCAGAGCAGATTTTTTGGATGACCTGCTGCTCTCTCATGCTGGCAGCAGGATTGGGATAAACACTCACATAAGATTCAACCCTGTCTCTACTTAATTGGCTCAAGTAGTGACAGGCAGCCCGGACACCTTGGTTGTCTGGTTACACAGGTAGTCTTGACAAAAAAAAAAAAGTTTTGGTGTCAATATAATTATAATTTACATGCCTACTTTTCCAAAACAGAATTAACAAAATTAACATCTAAAATAAAGGTAATGTTAGCTGTGAAGAATAGGACCAAGCCGGCTGTGGTGGCATCGTCCCTGGACCAAGAGGTCCCGGCTGGATTCCCAGTCAAGGGCACGTGCCCGGGTTGCGGGCTCGATCCCTAGTGGGGGGCGTGCAGGAGGCAGCCAATCGATGATTCTCTCTCATCGTTGATGTTTCTATCTCTCTATATCTCTCCCTTCTCTGAAATCAATAAAAAATATATTTTTTAAAAGAATAGGACCTATATCTGAGAGTTAACTTAAGAAATAAATAAAATACATTCGCTGACTGCCATCAAGAATTCAAAATCAGCTGTCATATTATTCCAGTATTTTTTTAAAGAAACAAAGGTCTTTTTCTTATTGTTAGTCTCTTCACTGAATACACCTTTCATTTTTCTAATATTAACCAATTCTCCTCAAGTTGATTTACAGATGTATTCTTTTTAAAAAATATATATGTTTTTTTGGGAGAAACCAAGATGGCGGCATAGGTAAACACCGGAAATTGCTGCCTCCCACAACAACTTCAAAAATACAACGAAAAGACAAAACGGACATCATCCAGAACTACAGGAAGGCTGGCTGAGTGGAAATTCTACAACTAGAAGGGAAGAGAAAAGCACACTGAGACTCAGAGGAGGTGCGGAAGTAAAGTGCAGAGGCACGGAGGCGCGCTTCCCAAACTGGTGTCTCCGTAGCTTTCAAAGGCGGGAAGGATTAAGAATACGTTATTACAAGCTACTTATGTGGTTTCTATTTGTTACCACCTTTTGAAAAGAAGGAGAACGCTGGTTCGCTTCCCCGCCTGCTCCGCGGGAGGGCACTTGCTGAGGGTGGCTGGTGGCAGGATTGAAATTCAGGAGCAATCCCTGCCTGACAAGCTCCCGCACCGCTGCAGGCTACAATCCCACGCGCGTGGCAGCGCTGCCGGGAGGGTTATTACAATCCAGGGCGCACGGAGGACAACAAAGGGCCTTACCCCTTCCCGAAGGCACCTCATTAGCACGGTGTACGCAGCCAGGGGAACGGCCCAGCATTCTCCGGGGTGCTTTCTTTTTTCTTCCTAAAATGAAGTGGAAGAAAAGGCGGTGATGCTCGCAGCACAAAAGATATTAACCCATTCCAGAGAAAGGTGCAGTTTCAAATACACCAACTCCCTAAAACTTCCTAATATTCTCTTTACAGTACGATTTACCCCGTCAATTACGATCTGACTGGGGGGGTAGGGGGGTCCCTGCCTGCACTGCACAGACTGAGACTGCGCCTATTGCTTGCTTTGTTACATATGATGTTGATCGATCCCCTCATCAGAAGCTAGAGGAGAACTGAGAAATGGCAACAGGATCTGGCTGACAGAGAAACCACCCTATTGATGAGCGCTATACGGAAAGCCACAGCAGGTAAGGGGTTAGAGCAGCGGTTCTCAACCTGTGGGTCGAGACCCCTTTGGCGGTCGAACGACCCTTTCACAGGGGTCGCCTAAGACCATCCTGCATATCGGATATTTACATGACGATTCATAACAGTAGCAACATGACAGTGATGAAGTAGCAGCGAAAACAATTTTATGGTTGGGTCACAACATGAGGAACTGTATTTAAAGGGCCAGAAGGTTGAGAACCACTGTGTTAGAGGAAGACTAGACGGGTGGCTCCATCTCACACTGCTTACAGCCAGGTCTCTAAAGAGACCCATGCACAGGGAGAACACGCAGACGCCTGGGAAACCCCGCGAGCAGGAGGAAGCGCAGGGGCGGAGGGAGGTGTGCAGGCAGGAGCAGGCACAGTGGGTGCGTGCGAGGAGCTGGGGGAGGTCAGCGTGGCGGAGGGAGTGAGCGAGTGGGGGCGAGGGAGGCTGAGGTGAGGCAGGCACGGGGGCCTAGAAGCAACTGGAGGGACTGATGACCGTGAACAACACGAGAGGCACAGGGCGTCTGAGGAGCGACACCTGCCGTCTCTCGTGTGTGTAACAGGCTCGCCATGGCTGATGTCGGAAAACACACTTTTACCAACACAAGAGCAAAGCCAGGAGACTGTCTGGGAGTTCTGACAACAGGCCAGGTGAGAGATGATGATGGGCTGAACCAAAAAAACGCAAAAGTACGAACACCTGGACTAGGGCGGGAGGCATCCCCAACAGAAGAAAGGACAAAAGCCACACACACTGCAGCTGCGTTGCTCTGTAACGTCCTCTGCAGACTCCCACTCCGCCTTCTGCCCTCCTGGTACCCTGGGTGTGAGCAGAGCGCCCGCAGGCGGGCTAGGTCTGTTACACATTGTGCACCATCACTCCGGGCCAGCCTCTCCTCGGTCAGCACGGACTTGAGATTTTGCGGTTGACATATTCAAAGTGACAGGCCCACAAAAGCCCTCAGCTCCTGAAAATGTACGGGTTTTCGTGGACCCGGGGGCAGAATCCCCTCGTCAGGTTGGCTATCATAAGATGCGGTCGCCTGTCCTGGCCACAGACATGGGCTTCGTTAAAACAGCCTCGCTTCCGTCCAAGTAGAGTAAGCGCCAAGGAAAGCGATTCTCGGCATCTACTTTTAGAAACAACCGGAATATTGCGGCACACCGGCTGAAAACTGCTGCTCTAAAGCAAAAAAGGGGAGGGAAGATGACAGCCAGACAGACAGGGAGCGACCGACAGCCTCTCTCCTCCAGAGCAGCATCTCTCCTAAGCTCCTGGGTGAGCTCTCAGCTGCAGAGTCAGGGAACTTTCATGGGCTATTAATACTCGCCGGCCGGGATATGTCAGAGCGCGTCCACGCGCGGCAGGGCTCATCTCAATCAGACAGGCTCACCTGGGTGGCCACCAGATACAGCAGCTCCCCGAGGGCTGGCAACAGGCTCTGCTTTAATTTGCTGTTCCTGAAGTTTTCCCTAATTAATTCGGTTAGGAGAGTAATTGCCTGAAAGGAGAAAAAAAAAAAAAGTATGTTATTTGATATGTATCTCTCAGTTCTCTCACCTGTATGTAAAAGGCAAGACTCTCTCCAGAATTCAACTTCCATTTTTAAGAAGCAGCTTCCAAATGATTTTCAAAATATGGGCCTTATCCCTGAAAGAAAAAAAAAAAATAGTAACTGTCCCCCATGACAGTAAAAACACCTCCGGGAAAACGCACTCCGGTCAGGAGGGCACCGGTCAGCTACCAAGCACTTTCGCCGCGTCACTGACCAGGCGAGGCAAGTGCTGCGCTCACTGTAGAGACGGGGACTCGGGGGCGGGGGGGTCCAGCAAGTCTCCGCCAGCTCCCCGGGCAGCCAGGGTGGGCACCAGCGCCTACCGTGCCAGGTCCCCAGCACGCCCAGCACTCCCCCGTTTAAAAACTCTCATATTGCATTACACTTTTAAATGATTCCTTCAAAAACCTGAGAGTAGAAATATTTTCCCAAAGCTTCAATACGATCCACGTTGACCCTCAGCAGCATGTATCAAACATAGTTCATTTCCTGGGAGCGATGCTAAGACAGTGCCAGCCCCTCGTCAACAGAATGCACACACGGGAACACGGGTGAACGGGATCACACGGTGACCAGGGAGCGGGAGAGGAAGGTTTCCGATGGCACGTGAATCCCGGCCCCATCCTGAGAGCGAGCTCGGAGCAGGTGAGACAGTGCGGAAACCTGCTCCAGGTCAACGTGGCTCCGAGTGTGGCGCACAGACGAGACGACTCACCGTCGGCAAAGACGGCAGCACAGACACTGAAAGGAGGCATTTGAAAGCTTCCAGAACCACCTGACAAAGTGACATTATCCCAGCACGTGATCTCTGGCCCTTTTGTAAACAAGAACCCGGAGGAGTGGTGTCCGTGTGGGGTGAGCTCACAGTCAGTAGTCAGGTACTGGAGGACACTGTGGGTGTGGTATTTTTTTAAACAGCTTTGCTAAGTTACAACTGACATGCCGTAAACCGCATCTATGTAAAGGTAACCATCTGTGACGTCATCACTTGCAGCCCCGATCAAAACGGCAACACCTCGAGTGTTCCCTCCGGTTCCTTTGGTAACTAATCCCTCCATCCAACTCCTTCCTCCTCCCGAGACAGCCACCAGTGTACCTTCTGTCATTAATCCACATTTTCTAGAGTTTATGTAAATGGGATCGCATACTACATATTCCTTTTTCTGGCTCCTTTCTCTGGATGAATCTTCAGAGAAATATGCTAAACATGAAAAAAAGCCAATCACAACAGGTTACATACCGTATGATTCCATTTATAAAACATTCTCAAAATGACAAGAGTATACAAATGGCAAACAGGTTAGTGGTTGCCAGGGGTAGGGGTTAGGGGAGGACACGTGATAGAGGGCGGTGGGCGTGGTTAAAAAGGGGCAGTCTGAGGGGTCTTTGGGGTGTTGAAACTGTTCCCTAACTGCTTTGATGTCCATATCCTGCAGTAATATTCTACTCTCGTTCTCCAAGATGCAACCTCTGGGAAAACTGGATGAAGCGTACCCAGAATCTCTCTGGATTATTTCTTACAACCTCATATGAATCTATTAATTATCTCAAAATAAAAGGTTTAATTTTTTTTTAAGTCAACCTCACCCTAAATTCAAAACCCATACCCAGCTCGCTGCTTCGCGAAGCTAGGGACAGGGACTCACAGCTTTTCTCAACCTTATAGCCCCCGGGCACTCTGGGTCAGTAAGCATCACTGGAAATTAAAACACCTGAATGCTGCAGATCCTGGGACAGATGAAACTGTCTGAACTGCCTCCAGCACGACAGGACAGCGCAGACAGACATGCTAGTAACCCCACGGCAGCCTGACACGGCGCTGCCTACGTCAGCTTTGGAGGGCGGTGAACGGTACGCGGAGGACGGTGTTTCCCTGCAGTGTTGTTTGGAGAGTCTCCCCCTTGTTATTGTAAAAATTTAAAGAAAATTTACTAGTAAAACAGAAAACTATAAGAACAGTGAATAGCCAGAACCGGTTTGGCTCAGTGGATAGAGCGTCGGCCTGCGGACTGAGGGGTCCCGGGTTTGATTCCGGTCAAGGGCATGTACCTGGGTTGCGGGCACATCCCCAGTAGGAGGTGTGCAGGAGGCAGCTGGTCGATGTTTCTCTCTCATCGATGTTTCTGACTCTCTATCCCTCTCCCTTCCTCTCTGTAAAAAATCAATAAAATATATATTTAAAAAAAAAAAAGAACAGTGAATAAACATACCGTATGAATGACAAATACCATGGAGAAAAACAAGTGTTTGATGACCTAGGCAGACTGGCATTTAAAATGCCATTACTAAACAGAACAAAAAAGGTAAAATAGATTTGCTAAGCTCTTCTTCAGCTTCAGAAATCCAAGTAATATATGGATATTGTTTGTTTTTTAATATGTTTTTATAGATTCAAAGAGAGGAAGGGAGTGGGAGAGAAACAGGAACATTATTGGTGAAAGAGACTCATCAATCGGGTGCCAGACATACATGCCGGTGCTTCCACACTCTCCCGAAGGTCCTCCCTTCTGCACCTACGAGCAGGGGTTTCATTTACATGCCGGGTGGGACAAAAGTAGGTTTACAGTTGTCCATATGCAAAATAATACAATAATTAATCCTATATAATAAAACCCTAACATGCAAATCAACCAAACGGTGGAATGACCAGCAGAACAACCAGTTGCTATGATGCACAATGACCACCAGGGGCAGAGGCTCAACACAGGAGCTGCCCCCTGGTGGTCAGTGTGCTCCCACAGGGGAAGCACTGCTCAGCCAGAAGCCAGGCTCATGGCTGGCGAGTGCAATGGCAGTGGAGGGAGCCTCTCCCACCTCCACTGCAGACAGGCAGTACGGAGAGAGGGGTCCTGGACTGCAAGAGCCCTGGACTGCAAGAGGGATGTCTGACTGCTGGCTTAGGCTTGATCCCCAGAGAGATCAAGGATCGAGCCTAAGCCAGCAGGCGGACATCCCCTTAGGGGTCCAGGACTGCGAGAGGATGCAGGCTGGGCTGAGGGATCCCCCCCCCCCCACCAGAGCATGAATTTCATGCACTGGGCCTCTAGTAAATAATAATACAAGAATAAACTTTCATACACTCACAACTATAAACCTACTTTTGCCCCATCCTGTATATATATACATATATATACATATACATACATACACACTTTTTTTTTATTGGTTCCAGAGGAAGGGGGACGGAGAGAGAGAAACATCAATGATGAGAGAGAATCATTGACCAGCTGCCTCCTGCATGCCCCCTTTGGGGGATGGAGCCCACAACCTAGGCATGTGCCCTTGACTGGAAATTGAACCCAGGACCCTTCAGTTCGCAGGCCAACACTCTATCCACTGAGCCAAACCAGCTAGAGCTAAATGACATTTTTATTTGGAATCATAACACAATTATGCCCATTGCACAAAGTTTTCTTTTTTATTAAAAATATATTTTTATAGATTTCAGAGAGGGAGAGAGAGATAGAAACATCAATGATGAGAGGGGATCATTGATCAGGTTTCTCTGGCACAAGAGGATAGAGCCCACAAGCTGGGCATATGCCCTGACCTGGAATCAAACCGTGAACTCCTGGCTCGTAAGTCGATGCTCAACCATTGAGCCACCATGGCTGGGCTACATGTTTTCTTGAGAAACCAAATCACATTGTCCTTTATGAAAACTGAGTCTTTTCGATGTTGGGATATGTCAAAGTTATGACACAAAGAACATAACCCCAATACTGTTTGAGCTTTCTATTTATAACTATTACTTACTTGCTACTATATTCTTAATAGTCATCTCTTCAACACTCCTCAAATAACAGAAATACAAAGGAAGCTCATTTTAAATTGCATTTTTCTGCTTCAGGGATCAGCTCTGATTAGTTATGTTTGTGCAATTCTTTCCACCACCAAGTCTCCTTCCGTGTTTCTTTCATCTAATAGAAAATTAAATGTGGCATGTGCTGGGTTCGCAAGGATTACTAAACACATCACATTCCAATGAATAAGCCCCACAGCTGCTGCTCTGAAAATATTGCAACAAAGGTGTGTGCACAGCTCGGGTAGAACGAGCAGGCAAATTAGTCAAAGCAAGAAACACAAAAGGTACAAACTGCTCTACAAGGTGTCAGGTAAGAAAGTCAATGAATTCCATCATTATAAAAAATTAGGGAGCATGCCGTTTAAGAATGCTTTGAGGTGAGATGTTTCATTTGTATGCAAAAGTGATTAAAATATGGCGATGCCCCAAATGATATCCACTCGGCATCCTGGCTGAATATTCGCTCTACACAGAGGCCTGAATGTTATTCAACTCGTTTCATCCTGTTCAACACATTTACCTCTCGTGCTGTCCAAGAACTAACCAAAACACAAGTTTGTTTAGCAGGGAGACACAAGGGCAGATTCACCGCCACTAACAGTGTGGAGGATCATAAATGACACCGGGCCCAGCCGGCGTGGCTCAGTGGTTGAGCGTTGACCTTTGAACCAGGAGGTCATGGTTCGATTCCCAGTCAGGGCACATGCCTAGGTTGTGAGCTCGATCGATCTCCAGTGTGGGGCGTACAGGAGGGAGCCAATCAAAGATTCTATCTCATCATTGATGTTTCTATCTCTCTCTCCCTCTCCTCTCCGAAATTAATTTAAAAATATTGTTTCTTTAAATGACATCAGTCTCAGCTCAGGGCTATGGACAAGCCAGACATGGTCACAGTGTCGGCCCTGGCCCAGTAGCTCAGCTGGTTAGAGCTACACCAAGGCTATAGGTTTGATCTCCGCTCAGGGCACATACAAGAAGCAACTAATGAATGCATCAATGAAGCAACTAATGAATGCAGTGCAGGTGAAAAGGAAGGTGGTGAGCAAGGAGCCGCGTCCTCAGTGGACAAGGAGAGTGAGCAGGGGGTCAGTAGCCCAAGGCACTGCGGGGAAGGTAGTGTCATGTGACCTGTGAGACCCCAAATCACAGGTCCTTGGGGAAGCCAGAGTGTGGGAGTGTTTGCAGGAGTGAGGACGCACCCACAGACACAGGAGCCCTGACAGTGCCGCCAACACCTCTCAACTTCAAGCGCTCTCTCACCTGCACGCACATCTTTTCAAGAGCCTTAACCAGAGCCCTTCAGCTAATAAGTTTTTAAACTCAAGACCATTGAAGCCAAGCCCACCGCCTTCTCTCCCACCCAGCCTGGGCTCAGGGGGTAAGACGCAAACCCTGGGCCGTATCGGAGAGCGTTTGGAAGTAGCCACTCCCGCCTTCCCACGGACTCAAGCCCTCCCTGGACTGAAACCAAACATCTTCTGGAGACCACCCCACACCTGGGCAAATCGGCTTCT